TGCCGACCTTTCCAGCAGATTGGTATGGACCTACTGGGGCCGTTCCCGACATCGGCTTTCGGAAACAAGTGGATCGTGGTAGCTACCGACTACCTCACCCGCTACGCCGAGACAAAAGCCCTGCCAAAAGGCAGTGCATCCGAGGTAGCTAAGTTCTTCGTCGAAAATATTGTCCTACGTCACGGCGCCCCGGAGGTCCTTATCACCTACAGAGGAATGGCATTCACTGCCGACTTCACTCAAGCGATCTTGGCATACAGCCAAACAAACCACCGCCGGACGACAGCGTACCACCCACAGACCAACGGCCTCACAGAGCGGCTTAACAAGACGATCACCGACATGCTGTCAATGTACGTCGATGTCGAACACAAGACGTGGGACGCCATTCTTCCGTATGTGACCTTCGCATACAACACGGCGGTGCAGGAAACTACGTAGATATCTCCATACAAATTGGTCTACGGAAGGAGCCCGGCAACGACGCTTGATGCCATGTTGCCCAACGTCACCGACGAAGAAAACCTCGATGTGAGCGAGTACCTTCAACGCGCCGAAGAAGCCCGACAACTTGCGCTTCTCCGTATCAAGAATTAACAGACGACTGACCGCCACCATTAGAACCTTCGACGACGCTTCGTGGAATACCAGCCCGGTGAACGTGTTGGGTGCGGTTGCCAATACGCCGACGTGGACTAAGTGAAAAGCTTCTGCGACGGTACTTCGGACCGTACAGGGTGGTTCGAGGTTTCGGCCCACTTGATTACGAGGTTGTCCCCGACGGCATCACGAACTCTTTATGACGCCGATCGCAACCTGAAGTCGTCCATGTCGCGTGCCTCAAGCCGTTTCATGCGCGTTAACAAACTGAAACAGTGTTTTTTTTTGTGTTATTGTTGTATCGTAACTTATTCATTGTACTTTCTTGCATTATTAATGTACGTTCCTCTTTAGTTAAAGCATCGGGACAATTCCTTTTTTTCAGAGGGGGGCAATGCCACGTTCCATTTCCCAAGTTTTTGTGATCGTCCCAAAACACCACACGATTTTCAGCGCAAACCGCGCCTGCAATTTCGAGAAGGTTCCAGACTGTAGTAGATCATTTCGATAAGATCACGCCCACTGTGCGAACAGTACAGATTGTTCTGGAACCAACGCTACCGCCAGCGATAACGCTAGAACATTCGACGACAAGAGTATAAATGCCGACGCGCTTCACTGCTTGTCAGTTGTTGATCGAAGGCCGACGCTTCGTTCGCCGCTATCAGTCCGAGACTGCTATCTGTGCGAGACTGCTGCTGTAATTGGACTTTCCGTTTACCGGGCACAGGTTCGCCCAAATAAACAGTTAAATCCCAACACGAAGTCTCCTGTCTTCGGCCACGTCACGACCCCGTGACAATATGAACTTTAGTAGCGAAACCGTCGCTACCTGCTGTGGACGAAAACACGGTAATTTTTGACGTGATCATATGTGGCGATGATGTAATTGACAGAACTCTAAAAGTGTGCGGGCAGCCAATGCTCGACGAGTCAAAGCAACGCTGCTTTTTGCAATCTCTGCAGACAAAACCGTGGCAAATGCAATCGTAGATAGCATAAAATGACTTAGGTTTGCACAATAGTTATAGCACGAGAAAAGAACGACAACAAAGGGACTAGAAGGAAACGAAGGACCCTTTGTCGTCGTTCTGTTCTCGCGTTATAACTACTGTCATGTCATAAAAACTAGCCCAAATCGTGACATTCCTTAGTTTTGGAGGCATGTGCGCAGCCAGCTTAAAAGGATTGAAAACAGAACTACTGTTTGCCGCAACCGCTGCGCTTTAAACCGCAGTTGCAGCGATGCAATAGTGAGCTACGTGCTCCGAGGGCACGCGGCTAACGCAGTGATAGATTAAAGGCAGTAAGCACGGAAAAAAAAGGCTAGAAACGTGTGGCGTTCCTGTCAAAAGAATCTAGTAGTGAGCAAAGCTTTGACCAGCACTTTTGCAGCAGCCACCTGCACTGTCCTCTTCGTTCACGTATGTCCCAGGAAGACATATCCAAGTTGCCTTGATGCAAATAGATTTTGCTACCTGTTATGATCCTTTGAGACTATCACCTTAGTGGGAAACCTTATTCAGGTGTGTTCGGCCACTCCAAGCCATTACCAGACCGCCTTGGCAATGTTTCCACTTGTCATTTAGACCGCCCCTCCCAACCATTCTGTTTTTCGAAGTGGATCGTGGTAGCTACCGACTACCTCACCCGCTACGCCGAGACAAAAGCCCTGCCAAAAGGCAGTGCATCCGAGGTAGCTAAGTTCTTCGTCGAAAATATTGTCCTACGTCACGGCGCCCCGGAGGTCCTTATCACCTACAGAGGAATGGCATTCACTGCCGACTTCACTCAAGCGATCTTGGCATACAGCCAAACAAACCACCGCCGGACGACAGCGTACCACCCACAGACCAACGGCCTCACAGAGCGGCTTAACAAGACGATCACCGACATGCTGTCAATGTACGTCGATGTCGAACACAAGACGTGGGACGCCATTCTTCCGTATGTGACCTTCGCATACAACACGGCGGTGCAGGAAACTACGTAGATATCTCCATACAAATTGGTCTACGGAAGGAGCCCGGCAACGACGCTTGATGCCATGTTGCCCAACGTCACCGACGAAGAAAACCTCGATGTGAGCGAGTACCTTCAACGCGCCGAAGAAGCCCGACAACTTGCGCTTCTCCGTATCAAGAATTAACAGACGACTGACCGCCACCATTAGAACCTTCGACGACGCTTCGTGGAATACCAGCCCGGTGAACGTGTTTGGGTGCGGTTGCCAATACGCCGACGTGGACTAAGTGAAAAGCTTCTGCGACGGTACTTCGGACCGTACAGGGTGGTTCGAGGTTTCGGCCCACTTGATTACGAGGTTGTCCCCGACGGCATCACGAACTCTTTATGACGCCGATCGCAACCTGAAGTCGTCCATGTCGCGTGCCTCAAGCCGTTTCATGCGCGTTAACAAACTGAAACAGTGTTTTTTTTTGTGTTATTGTTGTATCGTAACTTATTCATTGTACTTTCTTGCATTATTAATGTACGTTCCTCTTTAGTTAAAGCATCGGGACAATGCCTTTTTTTCAGAGGGGGGCAATGCCACGTTCCATTTCCCAAGTTTTTGTGATCGTCCCAAAACACCACACGATTTTCAGCGCAAACCGCGCCTGCAATTTCGAGAAGGTTCCAGACTGTAGTAGATCATTTCGATAAGATCACGCCCACTGTGCGAACAGTACAGATTGTTCTGGAACCAACGCTACCGCCAGCGATAACGCTAGAACATTCGACGACAAGAGTATAAATGCCGACGCGCTTCACTGCTTGTCAGTTGTTGATCGAAGGCCGACGCTTCGTTCGCCGCTATCAGTCCGAGACTGCTATCTGTGCGAGACTGCTGCTGTAATTGGACTTTCCGTTTACCGGGCACAGGTTCGCCCAAATAAACAGTTAAATCCCAACACGAAGTCTCCTGTCTTCGGCCACGTCACGACCCCGTGACAATATGAACTTTAGTAGCGAAACCGTCGCTACCTGCTGTGGACGAAAACACGGTAATTTTTGACGTGATCATATGTGGCGATGATGTAATTGACAGAACTCTAAAAGTGTGCGGGCAGCCAATGCTCGACGAGTCAAAGCAACGCTGCTTTTTGCAATCTCTGCAGACAAAACCGTGGCAAATGCAATCGTAGATAGCATAAAATGACTTAGGTTTGCACAATAGTTATAGCACGAGAAAAGAACGACAACAAAGGGACTAGAAGGAAACGAAGGACCCTTTGTCGTCGTTCTGTTCTCGCGTTATAACTACTGTCATGTCATAAAAACTAGCCCAAATCGTGACATTCCTTAGTTTTGGAGGCATGTGCGCAGCCAGCTTAAAAGGATTGAAAACAGAACTACTGTTTGCCGCAACCGCTGCGCTTTAAACCGCAGTTGCAGCGATGCAATAGTGAGCTACGTGCTCCGAGGGCACGCGGCTAACGCAGTGATAGATTAAAGGCAGTAAGCACGGAAAAAAAAGGCTAGAAACGTGTGGCGTTCCTGTCAAAAGAATCTAGTAGTGAGCAAAGCTTTGACCAGCACTTTTGCAGCAGCCACCTGCACTGTCCTCTTCGTTCACGTATGTCCCAGGAAGACATATCCAAGTTGCCTTGATGCAAATAGATTTTGCTACCTGTTATGATCCTTTGAGACTATCACCTTAGTGGGAAACCTTATTCAGGTGTGTTCGGCCACTCCAAGCCATTACCAGACCGCCTTGGCAATGTTTCCACTTGTCATTTAGACCGCCCCTCCCAACCATTCTGTTTTTCGAAGTGTTTTTTGTTTTCAGTTGGTGACAAAAAATTTGGGCAAACAATTCAGCGGACCCCCCCCCCCCCCCCCCCCGCCTCCTTTCGTTGCGGAAATATCCCGGATTCGGAATCCTTGAACTTGGCAGACGCGCACATAAAAACACGACAGGTCTAGCTAGCAAGATGACACACGGAGCAATCCACACGTGCACATTTTAGCCAGTTGCCGCGAGGCGGCGATTCTGCTTAATCTTGCTGCCAATAGTAAATGTCGTACATGTACGGCGTATTTCCTCAAAAGAATAGTGTGTCAAGTCTATGGCCCCCTGAGAGGCCAATGTATTTCATCGTTTCAGGTTAGGAGTTATATGACAGAGTGGACACTGTCAAAGTCTATGGCATCATGGCGTTTGACGTGGGGATTCGGAGGTGGCGTCGCTACCCGCATTTTCTCTCATGTCTTCTCTTGCTTACCAAATGTCTTCACGCTGTAACAGTGGTGTTTTCAGTGCTGTGAAAGTGTTATTTTGATGAAAAATGGTTTTTCTCTTGTTTTTCTCTTGTAAAGCAAAGTGTCGCATAAAGATGAGCAACGCTTCATGCTTCACTTTGCTTTACTGCTATTCCACTGCACTGTTTTTCTCGTAGGGCTGACGACTTCAACGACCCATACCACCTGGAAGGCACATCGACGTTGAACACAATTGATGCCGTCGACCTGGGAGCCATTCCTGCAGACACCCCGAGCCGCAATTATTCGAGTGACCAGTACCGCATTAACGAGTGGTATCACCACTGGCTGCCCGACCCGACCAAGCGCCAGGACTCCAAGACAACGTACACCATTCAAATCACCCATTTCAATGGCACCAATGAGACGTTTGTGTGGCACGGGCCTCCAGGTAAGCGCCTCCGGCAGGTCGTGAGGGTTGTGCAGGCAAACCTGACCAACGCTGTCTTGCAGCTACAAGAAAATGGATGGCTGCTCAGGTATTCTGCGGGTTGTCATACGTGAGCTATAGAATGTTCTTGAAGGAGCAGCTACATTTCAATGACTTTTTTGTCCAGATAGTAAACACGGATACTTCCCCGGTTACTTCTGTAGATGTTCCACGGTTATCATGGTCTTTCTTTTTTCAGCCTACTTCTGTTTCTGAGGTGATTACTCTTTTTTCCGGCCTTCGGAACAGTCGTAGCCCCGATGCAGACGGATTAGTAATTAAACCCATTAAGTACGTACTAGATTTGATCGCTCCTGTCATCGCACACATATTTAACAAAGCTATCATGTGGCATTTTTCCAAGTAGCGTGCGAGTTGCTAGAGTGACAGTAATTCATAAAGGAGGCGACAAAAATAGCTTCTCCAACTACCGTCCAGTCTCGATATTGCCAGTTTTTTCGAAAGGCCTTGAGAAAGTTATTAATACCTGCATCGAGAGCTTTAGTAGAAGATTTAATCTCTTAACTACCTATCAATTCGGATTTAGAAAAAATCGTTCCTCAGAGGACGCACTCTTGCTCCAAAAAGAGCTCATATTAGAAAACATAAAAAACAAAACATTCACAGTAGGACTATACCTCGATTTTAGCAAAGTCTTCGATCGTGTCAATCATGATATTCTCTTACAAAAATGGAATGCTATGGATTCCAGGGAGTTGCATCACAACTTCTTCGCTACTACCTAGACGAAAGACTTCAATGTACCGAAATAGGCACTCACAGATGACGTCTCAGGCAATACTGCCTCGTGGTACTCTTGTGGAGTACCACGAGGCAGTATTTTAGGGCCAATGCTTTTCCTGTTTTGCATTAATGATGTAATACAATTAAACACCACTTATCAGTTCATCATTTACGCCGATGATTGCACTGTCTTTTTTAAAGGCCAGGAATTATGTAGCATTCAAGCTGAAGCAAGTACGTTCTGTTCGAAACTGAATGACTGGTGCAAGGCGAACAGCCTTGTATTGAATGAAGCCAAAACTAAGTGTGTTATATATCGTGCTCGTGAGCTGTAGTACCTCGGAAGCTTGTCCTAGGTCCGTTCACTGTTCGCATTAAAAAATGCGTTAAAATACTTGGCATCATCTTCAACGAGCACATGTCATGGAAGGACCAGGTAAACGCGGTTACGCTGAAATTGGCTAAGTATGTAGGGCTAATTAGCCGTCATCGACACATACTACCAGCTAAAATAAAGAGATTACTTTACGATGCGCTTTTTGATTCCCACCTATGTTACTGCTTCCTGGTATGGGGTAAAACTACAGCCCTTAATATGTCAAAACTGAGCGTGTTACAAAAGAAAATGGTTCGACTTATTTCAAATGCTCCCTTTCTAGAACACACCGCCCCTCTTTTCAAACAGCATCAAATTGTGAAAATATCAGATCTATGTACTTATCAATTGCTTTGCTGCTACAAAAAGGCAGCACTCGGGAAATCTGACACACTTCTTAAACTCGCGAACCTTACACAAAACGCAATTTCTTATCATGTCCGATATCAACCGCCTTGGCACGTTCCATTCTCACGCACACACTATAGAACACAACGCACCCGACACATCGTCCCAACAATATTAAACTATTTCGAAATGCAAGGAACAGATGTTTTATTCCACACAAAAAAAGAAATTAGAAGTATGTTCACATAACAAACTTGCCTTTTCCAATATTGTAATATTGGAGTATGCACGTGTTTCGCAAGTTATTGTGTTTTCCTTTTCCCTTCATTATTCATATGATGTGTGTACATGTATATATATATAATATATATATATATATATATATATATATATATATATATAATATATATATATATGAGATCTAACAGACAGTAATGCCAAGGAATGTACAGGGGAAGTTATTAGAACCAATGAAATGTAAATAAGAAAAAAAAAAGTGGATGAAAAAATAACCAGCTGGGAGCAGGAATCGAACCTACGACCTTCGAATAACGCGTTCGATGCTCTAACCACTGAGCTACCACAGCGGCCTTCCCTCCATCCACTTTTTTTTAGTTTGTACGTGAATTTAAAAGTAGGGGTGACAGTCAGCGCCATGGCGCTAACTGTCACTCCTACTTCTACCTGACCTGACCACCTTGCTGTCCTGACCACCTTGCTGGTATCAGATTTTAGTCTATTATATTCGAATGTCCACTGTACTAGAATCAATAGTGAACAAAGCTTAATCAATGGAACCAATAGGGTGGTCTGCCTAAAGACACCAATTGGTATGTTGTATCCGAAAGTCTCTTGTAAGCAGATTTGTCGTAACAAGGTTATACTGTGTATCTATTGCAAGGCTATTATTAATTCACTTCGTTACAACCAATATTTCGCTATACTATACACGACTTCGTGTACAGTCGAGCTCACTTATAATGAATCTGAGCCTGACGTGGCATCCGTTCGCTGTATCCCGAAGTTAGTAGTAAATTAAACACAGTTTTTAAAAAAAGTTGCGAGTGAAAACACAAGCTTTTCTGCCCGAAAAAAGTCCGTGATGCAAGTGTTTTGAAGAGCAGAAACGATAAGGCCGGTCTCGAGTTCATTTAAAATGACAGGGTGCTCGTTCGCCAAGGCCCATGACATAAGCTGCGTGAGACACTGGCTCCAAAGTTTTGTCGTTCTTGCAATCCGATTCCTCCATCGCTCTCGCCTTATACTTCATTCACAATTCCCTAATTTGTGCATGGTTCTGCAGTGTCGGCATCATCGGCCGTAATTAAACCATCGCAACAGATGTCCCACCTGCTCTCCAGGCCGGCATCGTTTAGCATACGTTTTGGTCGGGAATAGGGCCCCGGATATCGACATATTAATTTAAGAATGAAGGCGGCATATCTCCGGTCTGTTAGTTATGCCTAGCTACGGCGACGAAAAATTGGCACGCAGCGTGCTTGGTTTCGCGTGTTGGGGCGCTAATGTGCGAAATCGTTGGCCGCTGCTACTGCTGTTTCGAGCAGTCAGTGCGTGGCGAGCATGCTGGTGTCCGCTACCGATGCGCGAGATTCACAGTTCTAAAGAGCCAGCGGCTGGTGTGATATATTGCTTGCGACAAAACCCATTACGGCTTCTTCGCTTTTGCACATTTGCTGGCGTGACGGTCTCGCCCGCCAAGTCGGGGTGGAGTTAGGCCTAGCCACGACTTCGAGCAAAAAGCGCGACTGCGATGTGCATGGCTGCGGTGCCTGACGTGTCAAAGTACGACATGTTCGAGTGGCAGTACAAAAGATCTGTCCCACGGTTGTTTTTGTCACAAGGTTCGAAGCGCTGATAAGCCGAACCTTTTCACCAACGAATCAACGCTATGACAGTAGGTTCAAGACGCGTGCGTGCGATGTTTGCGACAAGTGCGGCACGTGATCATAATCTGAAGACTGAGCTTCCACTTGCGTTTAACAACCCCTGAACACAGAAGGAGCGCAAAAATGTCATTAAGTAGTGTCATCTTAAGCAGCCGTGACCTCGCGACACACAAGAAGCAGAAGCAGATGACGCTGTTTCGTAGGTGTGTCCGGAACGAGCGTTGAACTAGCGAGGCGTACTGGAGCAGTATGGTAGAAGGAGCCAATCGGAATCCTCCAAAGGAGTTTCAAACATGTGATTTTTGAACAGGGAATGCTCTTTACAAAATACTTTTACGACGAGCCCTTAATGGTGGTGGGCAGTTTTGTCGTCGTGAAGCTATAAATTTTTTAGAAACATCATTTTTTTTTGTGGCTTTCACTATGACTTTCACCAAGACGCAAAAATCTTTTTACAGCACTGCTACATAGTTTTCAGAAAACATATTTTGGAATCAAATAGAAAACAGGCTGCAGACACTCTAGAATGATTTCCGAAAAATCCACTTTTGTATGCCCCATTGAGAATAAATTTGACATGACTCGTGATTCTCTCTGGTTATAACAGACCCATTCGGTGTTTCCATAAAAGTTTGTTGGAACAGTACTTGGATTTTACATACTCCTCTTACAATATGTGTCTGGTTAACCTCCCTGCCTTCTCGCTTGTTGTTCTTGTGCTTCCTTCCTTTTACAACAGCCCATAATCCTCTTCACTATGAAAGTCTGTTGCAGAATGGGCCCCTCCATTCCAAGTCTATTCCGGGGAATCGCAACTTGGCGTTATTTCATTTTTTTCCCCCCATTCCTCGTAATGAAAAAACTTACCCCGTTCCCACTCCAAGAATGGCCAGGCAGGTCAATTTTAATTCCTACAATTTCTCAATGTAGAAAAGGCATATCTTGATTGCTTTATCGAGCTAAGAATAATGGTAAAAACGTAAAGCTGATGTCATCAGATGCATAAAAACTGCAAAACTCTGCTACGCTACCTTGGACGAGTGATATTGGCATGGGGACTTATCACGTGTTTTACACCCACACTACTAGTTCCCATAGGGGCAGTTCACCTATAGTACTTGCATGTTCAGCAAAATCTTTTATAAGAAGTTGGTAAACAGTTAGAAACGCGTACGTTTACTTGTTTCGACTCTACTTTACTCCTTCCCAGCTAGTATACCTTGATACTTTTGCCATTGCTAACCAGGAGTGATTTCTTGGTCTTTTTAACCAGGTAACAACTAAGGCACATGCATTGCCTCATCTCTCATAAACACCACCGTATATCTTGCAGTAATCGTGACACCCTTGTAACAAATTTAGAGGAATCTTTATTTTGTTGATTACTCTAAAGTAAATATTTCGTTCTAAGTGATGGCACACATACATAAAAGGGCAGACAATGATGTGTGCAAAGCGTCCATTATTTTTCTAAATTCTATGGCTGCTAATCAGTACACTGTATGCTATACTTCTGTAATTGAATTAACTTGATGTGGCAATGTACATGCACATATAAATGCCCATTATCTAAACATTCAGTTAGG